GATACCAGTTGGCACTTATTTGGTTATTTCGAATGAGTACCTCAAGTAAATTGCGTTTTTAAATGTACATGACGATTCCTGCTTACCCATGAACAAAACAACAGAAGTTTTCAAAAACTTAACTTCAATAAAATCAAATCAAATCAAATTTATACCATTCAGATTAATATAAAATATAAACCGTTACAACTTAGATCTATGAAGGATCGCGACTATCTAAGCCAAGCTTGTGTTACAGCCACGAATCCAATACAAACAATACATTTACAAACGAAGATGAACCTATTAAATAGTTCTGGAAAGTCCTAGAAAGACGACCAAAATGATAAGAAGTCTTTTAGCATAACTAGAGCATCAAATACGAAAGAAGAAACAGAAACAACTGCTTGTGACATTGTTTTGAGTGATTGCAGTATGGTGAATTAGTCAACTATCCAGTATTGTTTCCAATCTGAGGTAGTTGTGATTGATAAATGTTTTCAATTCTATTTTCAATTTAGTATAACTTCTGATACATTTTAGTGACTGTGGTAAATATGGCCTTAGCTAAATCTAAAAAAACAGTGATAGTTTTGTCTTGATTTTGAAAAGAATTGTTAACTATGTTAACTACTTCAAAGATGGGTTAAGTTGGAGCTAACCTTCACCTTGGAATAACAAAACAACAATTTTTTCCATAGTTTTCAGAACTCCCAACTGAAGATGGTTTCACAAATCCCCAAAAAAGTTATGGAATCAAAAACAGTGTATCACACAAAAAAAATCAATAATACAATTGGGAATTTGAAATTCAGAGGATTCCACAATGTGTTCATGATGAATATACATTCTCTGCACATCAATTTCAAATTATTTGAAACATAGAAGTTTTTTTGTCATTTTCAAAAGTTCATTAATATTATTGAAAATTGAAGTATTTGGCGAGAGGAAATTCTAAAAAACTAGTAGTTGAAAATGTTTTTTTATAGAGTTCTGAAGATGAATTAAATAATTGAATAACTTTCTAAAAAAAAAATAGTAGATCCAAATATACTTGCAAGTTGAAAATATCAATTTGATCTGAACCTTATATATTATAATTCAACTTAAAAAAGACTAAACTACTTATCTAATTAAAGTATTAGATAAAATCAACATCGAATTTGAACAATTACTTGGTATTAATTTGAAAACCTCTGCAAACATACATATTTCAACTAGTGGAAACAATTTCATAGATAACATTTGAACTATTTTTTTTTGAAATCTGGCGTCATGATATCACTACACTCATATTGAATCATGAACACAACTTTTTTTTTTATATAAGTACTCAAAAATACGTGTCACAGTCAGTTTGCAGAATATTAGTATCGCGATTTCTCTAATGAGAAATGATAAACTACTTTTATAGTAATATGAGAATTCATGGAAATAATATAATTTGAGATGAATACTATACAAGACCGAAAAATGTATATAAAATATATGAGCATAAGCTTTTACCCCCTCCATCACGATAACAGAAAACACTGATAATATACGCCGCAGTTGCAAAAGAAACGTTTAACACTACAAAAATTTTTGTTTTTTCTAATGTATACTAAATACGTTGATCAAGAAGACATTTTTAATACTCATTCAGTCTCCAATAGGTCTCAATGTCTCATTGAGATACACCAAAAAACCAATAAATCACATCTTCCGATGTCAAATACTCCTTCACAAACCCGTTACATCCGCTGAGTTAACGCCAGAACACTCCTCTCAGCTCATAGTTTGAACAGCAAAAAAACATTTTTCATTATAAAAGAGGACCATAGACCTAGAAAAAAATTGCTTGGGGTTACAGTAACTCCGTAGCAAATTATACCAAGAAAACAGTAAATGTGGCTGAACGAGACACAAGTATGTCCAGAATCATCATTCCGCTAGCGCCGATTCAGTTTTGAAATAAAAGTGATGATGACAATTCCCCTACGAAGACGTCATCTATAGGGCCGATACATAAACTACGAATGTAAATCATCGAAATTTTCGTCGAAATTTTCCAGGAAAATTTCGACGCACATCGATCGCCGTTGGGTGGCTGGGTAACTGAATCTGGTCACTGAGGAGGTTAAGGGTGCAGGAACTTGAGTATTTGAGAAATTATATATGAATATTTCGAATAACCAAGGTTACTTAAAGAATCTATATCTATTTGATCCTATACTAGTCTTCAATAAATTAACAAGCAGCATATAGAAAGATAAGCTAGTGCTACTAAATACATAAAATTTCATTTTGATACAAGACTGAATACTCATAACTAGTTGTCATATTTTTGGATAATTTTTTGCAGCTGTCACCGGAAAATCTTATGAATTCCCAAATAAGCTCCCAAACCTTAGGCTCGAATTTGTGTCAATTTTTTTGCTGAAGAAGTTTGACTTTCAAAAATAACATATTTTCATTTCATTCTTCGTACAACCTTTTTGATGCTCCTCAAGGTGAGTTCACATATGTTGTATAATATAATGAAGGGGGGAGTTTTCCATTATAATTCGGTATTCATTGAGCATTTGTTTACGCATTTTGAACGATAAAACTAGGTTTTCAAAATATCCACTTGACAAAAAGGACTCTCGAACTGAATTTTCATTAAAACGGGACTGTTGAACAGGTCTAGTTATTCTAGGTGTTAACCGAGACAGCCCTATATTTTTTTGAAAAGACATATGTAGTACAAAGTTACGGCCCTTCGAAGTTCAGAAAAGGGCAACTTTTTAGCCCTTTTTTTTCACAAAATAAACTATATAAAAACACAAGCATTCATTCACTAGGTCACCTTTACACCTTATTCCTCCTTCTTTGACACTTTTCACTTCAATAATCAACATGTTTCGAATAAAAATGTTAAAAAATGTACGGAGCTGCTTTTTTTAAGGTTAATGGCATGGTTGGTACGACTGATGCAGTCCATATTCCTAAAGTAATTCAAATGTTTTTTTACCTTTATTCTTTAGATCGTAAATTGGTTTTTGGTGGTGTATTACGAATTTGAAATAGTAGTAGTAATAGTATTGAAATAGGCGGCAAATACCAACCTCTTTTTTCTGAAATGTCACTAGTAGTAACTAACCTAAAAATAGAAGAATGTCACCAGAAGAAGCATTCGTTTTTAAATTAAGTAGTTTTTTATAAGAAGAATGTTATTGAAGTGAAAAGTGTCAAAGATGCTCGTGTTTTTGAATAGTTTATTTTGTGAAAAAGACGGTTGAAACTTGCCCTTTTCTAAACTTTGAAGGACCGTAACTTCGTAAATAAGGGAGAGCCCCGCTTTTTTCATTCGAAATCTACGCATCAAAATACGTAGGTACACTCAGAATTTTTTTCAAAATCGCCGGGTGCCCTCAAAACGAAAATTTACCCAGTTCTTGAGTCATTTGGTCAATTTTATCATTTGCACGTGTTGTTCAATGCTATATCCGACCATGGTGATTTGCCAAAACAGACTGAATAAATGACAACTAATTTGACAGATGTAACTTCAACAAGATGGCCGTTATCAATTGTCAAAGTACAGTCAAAAGTCCCTATTTGAGACAAAAAATAATATTGCACAAAATTTCACTTAGCAAATTCGACACTCTTCAATCAGTCGCTGAACATCTGGAAAAACCTTTTCTTGAAAATCTGGACATTTCCATGGATGTATCTTTCAAAGTGTTAAAGAAAGAAATTCAAGAACGCGTTGATTTGTATACGAAGTCGGCTGGAGAGGTCCAAATCGAAGAGATGATTTTCAAGTTCATGCCAGGCTTCGTAAGAATACTGTTTTAATTATGTAATTTTACTGTTAAATGATCATAAAGTTGATGAGAACTCTAGCTGGATTTTTTCTTAGTTTACAACCGCTCACACCTTCCGAATATTTTCATTTGTATTCAATGTGAAACTTAATTTAAAATATTTAAATTGTTTATAAACGTCGCCTTGAAGAGGTAATGTTGCTTTATACCAGATAGTAATAACTATTATAGTTATTATCGACTGTGTGTAACCTTCTACGTGAATCCCCGTTATTTTACGCGATTTGTTATACGAGTCCATTGGCCCAACGGTGCCATATCGACAGTTGACCCTGTAATAATTACCTTACAATACTCAGATCTAGCGAGCGTTGTTCCACTTTTACCGGATACGAGCATTCATATGTTTGAGTAAGAACCTATCAGGTGTCAAGTGGTCTGATGCTGTGTTGATTTTAGGAATGTTACAAAACATTTCAATGAAAGGAAAGGAACTAGAAACAGTTGCCGGTGCTTGTCATGTTTAATGAACTAGATAATTTTGCTTTCCTGTGATAATCGCCGCAAATATTCCCCGTTTGGTTCAGTAGAAAAATTGAAGAGATTATGTACACTGCCTTCAATTTGAGGATTTTTATCATTTTAAGGTATTCACCAATGAAAAATCATATGTCAATACCGTAGATTGCTGAGGGGAGTGGTGTGATGACTGCTACCTAGGACCTTCAGAATTATTTTTTAGTTTTTTATACATTATCTACATCATTATTACCTTTTTTTCAATAAAACCGTTTCAATATACGATTTTCTTTACCTATTTCATTTTCAAGTTTTGAGTTTTAAATTCTGTTACTCAATTATTCTCATTCTGTTTAGTTCATTTAGTGCCTCATTATTACAAGGTAATATGTAATCCGCCATTTTGTAGCTGCGGCCATCTTGGATTAACAATGATACAGACTTTATTAAACTGTGTTGTCATCAAAACTAAATGTGTGTACCAATTTTCAGATCAATCTGTCTACAGGAAGGGGGTCAAACATCAATTATTAAATTTGACCAAAACAAACAAACAGGGCAGGCTAAATAAAACCGTCCAGTACATAATAATAGAAGACTGAGGAAAATAAATACTGCGATAACGTAAATTTTGAAAAGTTTTTAAGGATTTTTTCGTTAATATCTTTTGTTTTCAGTCAATATCATCGCTAATAAAAGTGCTCCATGTGAAAATTAAATTTTTTACTGTCTTCACCTTTTGATACTGAACTAGAAATTCTTCAGAGATCGATACTGGACACTATTATTCTCTAAAACGATTGTCCAGTCTTCAAGTATGTCCACTGACTATACGTGAAAAGTTTTCTTTCCTTATACGGGGAATTGGGCAAATTTCGGATATGCGGTTGGTTACCTCGTTCACAGGTAGATGGGGCGATGACAAACATGTTGTTTGTTGTCGGCTACAGCCTAGTTCCAGGAATGAAATCTGAAAGAATTCGATTTTCAATTATCGGAAATCATCGATTTAATGTTGATGATAAACACTACCTTGCACTGACGAGTAGCCAAGCAGTCCGAAACCGGTCTGCAAGTGTGTTCCAATAATTGAAAATATATATTACGGCAGCTGCATCGCCAACAGCATATGCAGGAATAACACCAGTGAAAAATCCTGCACTGACACCTGTCGGATATAATCCAACGCTCTTCGTGGTATTAGCCAGGGGAGTAGTTGGTTTCTGATGGGTGTCAGTCCATTAATCTACAGTGTAGGGAGTTGAGACTGGCCTTAACTAATTGTTCCTTCAGATCAGATGGTTGAGTTTTATTCAATTTAATTTCTTTTTTTAAGCTTCTTAATAAGATCTTGTCACTAGAAAATAATTTTCACTATCAATTTATTCTCCTCAGATGTTATATTAATCGATTACATACAAAACAACTTCTAGACTACGTTAATAAAAACTTCAACACACTGTATCTTTTCACGCCTTTTGAACCTTTTCTACACCCTCTTACAAAAGGCAAGCATCAGAAAAAATACAAATTTATTGCATATGGCTATCTTTGAATGGCTTATAGAACAGACACTTAGCTTCTTACCCTCAACTGTTTCCACTTAGGAATGCAGAAAATCTACTAATAACGCTCCAACTGCGAATATTTCAGTCGGTATTCGGCACCTGTCCACAAAATACCGGGTCGTTTAGAGGGTGATTGAAAAACAAAAGTGAGTGTGAGAAGTGAGGTTTTAATAGTTTTTTGTCTTGTTTACTACTGGAAGACGTGTGGCGAACTATTTGTTACAGTTGTCAAATTAAACTAACAGAAAAAATATTTCAGTTTCTCATATCCACACAACAAATTGAACACCACCACAGATGAACAATAAAAATGTATTATCATTGCTATTAATGTTATCTAACTGATAATTTTGACTAGTGGCAAGTAATCTTTTTTTTATTCATGGTGTGATAATACCTGAAAATAACAAATCATGAAATTATAAAACAACAAAACTTAATTGGCGCTCCGGGGCGACTTCATTGATTCCAGTGGCGCACTTGCTTTATCAGCTGCAGGAAAACCCTGAAAAACCTGCAGCACCATATCATCTGAAGATCTTGATCTGCCAATGTCCTCTCTCTCAAAAAAACAAAATATAGGGTGTCTCCAGAGGCTCCAATAAATTCAATACATCGCCAGAACACTTAGTGACACGACTATCGTCAAACTTAAACCAGTCCGTTTCGTCTTTGACCAAGGCATAATAATGATCAGATTCAACGCCAGAACCACAGTGAACAATGATTGCATGAAGATTATAACAGTTGTCTGTTAGATTGCAGTGTTCATCTATTTCGAACCTACGTAAGAGTTTGGTGCTTCCGTCAGAGGTTGAGTCATGTTAAAAGTTCCATTTTCAGATGATTTAACAATAATCTTTGCACGGACTGGTTGTTAGTCATATTAGGTTAATCTTTACCAGGCTTACCTATTGCTTCGTTGTATCCGTGGAATGATCAAATTTAGGTTGCAGACTCCTATGAAAGTGCATCATTTTTGAAGCTCCTCCCGAGTTACTTGACTACTACGAGTCCATCTACGACGGTTGCAATGACCATATCTGTATGATACTTGTGCTGATATTTGCATCGGGGCTGCTTCATTGTTTTTTCCTTTTAGGAGTGGCGTTGCCCCACTGCAAGGTAATGGAAGATCGAACGTTGCAATTTTGTTCACCCCGAATTCCATATCGATATCATGCTTCTATAGCTTGTCAAATGTAGGAAGAGACTTGAGAATTCTGTCTCTCTCTCTCTCTTTATCTGTCGTACTCACCCTCTTCTAACGCACGTAAAGTGGGCAAGACCTTAATGAAATCAAGAAAGCTCTTCCTACATTTGACAAGTTGTATTCTTTCATCACCCTCAATCACTGATAAATATTATTTTTCCCTGGGGCATTGAGTTTAAGATTATCGTGTGTGCCTTGGATTTCCAGGAGACACTTAGGTATATCTACGAGTTTGAATATTCTTCGGGTTTGAAGGCCGTGAATGTTTATTTGTTCCTGACGTTTCGCTGAAGAGAGTGGCTATCTTCCTCAGAGGTTTATACATCCTAAGTTAATATCATCGATGACTGGATATTACGGCTGCGTAAGGCATATTTATTCTGACTCATCAGGTAGTTTGGCGTGCTAATAACTGTACCTGGATTAGGTGAATTATCAACATTCGTTGACCCTTTTCTAACTGCCGGCGTGATGTTTGCTATTCTTGAATTCCTTAGAATGGGATTCCATATTCGATTGAGGTTCATAGCTTCTTCTTTTCTGTTGAAGTTATCCGTATTTTTGTCGATTTCTATTGCCACCCGTACCAGTCGACTATGGTATCCCTGGTCGGGGGCAATGAGTTACATGTTACAGCTTTTTGAGGCTGCAATCTCTCTTTTTGGAATGTTGATCGGCATCAATTCTTCATGAAACTTCACTTATTTGTTGCACATGGGGTCATAAAGGGTTGTATTCAATTCCATGGGGTAATCGCCTGTGGCGAAAAATAACAGTTTAACCTCATGGAGAATCCCTGAATAAACTGAACGCATCGGCTAAGAAAATTTGTTCAAAGTCACTTTTGAATAATCATCACTGACAATATGGTCGGGGTCACAAATATAGTCGAGAAGGGTCAACCACTTGTGCCCGAATTCTCTGTCTAAATCCGTAACGATTAGTACCTACTCTAAACATCCGAAATAGTTTCGTTCTGAATATTCATCTGTTTTTTCGGCAATAAACTCTCGTTTCGAGAGTAGAGAGCATTCCAATAATATGCGATGAGAAAATACGAAAATGATAATTAAGAATAAGAATAAAGGAATTAACATAAAAACCCAAGCAGATAGATATTTTGAACGCCTAAGCGATAAAAGAGTTATGAAGAGTTAATTTTGAAATAAAAATTTATGATACAAAATAAAAATCATTTAAGAAATGGAATTCTTCTGAACTGAATAGTTGTAGGAAAAACCCTACAATCTTGAAATGATGTTATTTTGGATTAATAATAACTGCTACCTTTAAGAATTTACTTATTATCTATTTGCGATAATATGAAATGAAACATTTTATTTCTAATATTTTGAATGCATCAAAAGCTGAAAATACGCATTTTCATGTTTATTGTTTCACCAATTAATTCAATCGAAAAAAATTCTATGTAACATCCCAAACCAATCGTCATTACATACAGGATTGAAATAATTGGTCTTTTTTGCATTACTCAACTGATGTTTTCATTTCGTTAATTTTCAGTATATTATAAAACGAAAATAAAATATTTGTTCTTGAATTAAGTGCAGAAAAACAGCTTTTGGTTGATTGAAAATTACGAATTTCCACCAGTTGAAAGAAAATAACTTGATATGAGACATTTTCATGATGTTCAATAATTTAGCAAATATTTCAATCACGACAAAAATGTATATATTATATCCCATAACAAACGTTACTGAGATAATCATATATCCGTAATTTATAAATCATTTATGAGATCATCTCATTACGAACGTAATTGTTTAGAATTCTTTTGATCTTTCTATCTCACGAGAATTATCATATGACCAATGAAACCGGAACGTCTTGCGTAGAGTGAATCCAAAATAATAATATTCTTGACGCAACTTTTCATCTCCTGCAGACGCCAACTTGGTTGGTAAAACGCCCGTCGAGAAGAGTATTGCATTTCTGGTGATTGGGAAAAGTGCTTTTTTTGGTGTTATATGATCAATATTTTGCCAATACAATGTTTACCGGGCTATTCCTGTTTTGAAAATTGCAAGGGATAACACCCTTATTCAGTTCTCAAGTGTTCACAATGTGTTGTCAAAAACATTTGACGTGATTGTAATTTTGCAAAAATATTTCTCCACTTCTAATTTGCAGTACGTATTTGATGAACCACCCAGTATGTTGAACGAAATTTCACTTTTAGTGAATGTTGATGAACATCTTGAAAGGTATGTACATTTCAGAGTAACTAAATATATGATATGTTTATGTTTCCAAACATCTTCCAAATAAACGATTCAAAGTACATTGTTATTGTCTTTCATTATTTCACTTTCATTTCTATTCCAAACTCGTCAACTCTTCACGAAACGAAAACACAAATTAGCACATAACTTGGCACAAAGCAACCTCAGGGCTCATATTACACCGTCTAGTGAACATGGTTGTCAAGGATTGATGTTACATTAAAATGACCCGTAAAACCATTACGTTTACTACGATTATTTATTGTAATCATTGATATATCTATTGCCTCAGCGAATAATTGCGAACTGTATCCAGATAAGTGTGATTGACGACAAACATACTGTCAGCAGTTGTAAGAATTCTCGCCATTATCACAGAGTGTATTAACAAAATGATATCCAATCTCTTCAATTTAGAGTTTGGAAAACTTTTTCACAAATGGAAACAAATGGACTGTGGGATGATTAAAAATGAGCCCTGTGGGTTAACCACAAAGGGTAGAATGGAAATAAAAAACTCTCTTCTGGCGATGTGGTCCATAATAACATATCCAATATTTGTTATTATCCTCCGTTGAAAACTTCAGTATTATACACAAGAGTACTGTGGTCAATCATGGTATAGCTATTACTTTTGGTTAAGCCAAAAAGATTATTGAGAATTCAAGTTTCCAAAATCGATATTCCAAATTTTTGACAAAATGGACCAATCTTAAAATCAATAGCATGTGCGAGAGAAGAACATATTGGCACTTTCACGGGGTTGAGTTTTCACACGATTCAAACGCATTTTTGACAGGAGAACAAAAAAGTCGCTAGGCGTTTAATCAGAAAAATATGTGCAACTCTGAATTACAGATTGTATACGCAACGGCACTAATTTTTATGTAGATGCAATTTAAGATTTTATGAATTAAAACGTCTTGAGCTCTGAAGAAAATTTTTCGATATCTGTTTGATCTACAAACTGATTCACCGTACTGCTTATTTTTTTATTCTGAACTGTACGCCATATACAATAAGAAATAGAACAGTT